GAATTTCCAGAAATAATACTGAGCCTTGCTTCCTGTAAAATATCGACAGTCGTGCCATCTAATACAAAAATAATACAATTAATTAGTTAATGTTAATAGAATGAAAAAGATTAATTAAAAATTGAAACTCACCGGGAGTCTTTCTACCCCATCCCAAAGCGATGACAGTAAGTCCTTCAGTAAAATAAAAGTTTGGTGGTGGTAAACTTATTGCTCTTAATCTGTTGCCCAAAGAAAGAGGTGGTTCGAAGTTAACGATTGCGATATCATTATCGTAGTTATTGCAATCATATCGGGGATGCAGTCGAACGTTACATATATTCCGAGCCTCTTGATCCCCTTTATTTTTTGAAGTACCGTAGGCATTTATGAGCAAACACATTTCTTTTAGTTTCTTTTCCATGTTACAAGTAATTTAAGTTCATGGTATTTATTTAAATAACTGCGATTTTAGAATTTAAACTTAATTTTTTTGATCGAATTTATTAGTTGATATTTTCCAAATTATTCAATTATTATCGAAACAATAAATTTGAAATTAATATAATGGGACGGTTGATTTATTAATTCGATTAAATATTAATTTGTTAATGCATTTGTTTGTTTAAGTTCCCATGATAATAATTTTTTCTTCTATATGTTTGTTTGTTTGTTCGCTATACATTTCTAGGCCGTTCTTCCAATTGAAACGAAAGTCGGTAGTTACGTTCAATTACTTCTTCTAACTTAGATCATGTTATAGATTTAGCCTAAAATATATAGACTGCATTTCTATAATTGAATGAAATTTTTTAATTCGATTTTCCGAGTTACAGGTAGCGCCATCTATTGGCAAAAAAGATAATAAAACAATTAACTAAGTATAATTCCTGCAAAATTAATGTAATTTCAAATATATATACAATATTCACTGAATTACTGCGACAATGTTACAGCGCGAAATAGATGAGCAATTAGGCACATAGTGTAGTAATGTTTTCTCATGTAAATCATACTTTTCCTGTTAGCAATAGAGTCGTGCCGGTTATGTTAGTCCCTTCAAGGAAAGTTTCAATTAACATAACGTGACTTGCGTTTGAAAGTGGAAGTTAATCTGTGTTTCCTTATCCTAAGAGTTTTGCATCTTTTTCCGACTTTCATTTATATAACATCTTTCTCGAGATTAAGGAAGGACAGACAGACAGAGACAGATGACAATAGTCTGAATTTATAGATCAACAATTTGTTTTAAACTGCAGCCCAATAATTTTTCTATAAATGCAATATTTACGAGAGCATAGTTTCCACGTAGTTTATACAATCTGTTGCCAAAATTTAAACACTTTGTTATCACGTAAGAGCAATTTAGCTCGCACTTTTACAAGTTTTTTTAATTTTATATTTAAACAAGTCTTACATGAAGTCTTTCGGATGTTAAAGATAACAACTTCGATTGCTTGTGAAGCCATCACAACCTATCCAGCACGGATCATTTTTCAAATGTTAACAGTAGACTAGTATTAATTAGTAGTCGTTGACCATCTTCTTCTCCTGGAGGAAGTCAATGCTTACTTTTGGTCGAATAAATTCGATCCCCTTCCGCAACATCCTTTTTTTTTATCGGACCAGCGGTATGATGGCATTCGAATATGAAAATTACATAATACAAGGTTACCGACCAGCATAAAATATGATATAAGTGGTTTTCGAAGGTGACGAGTTTAATTATTTGGTTCGCTTTTTTTCCAGTGGGTACACGCCTCGCTCGGACCTAGAAGGAAGAGTGGAGGAATGTACTGTACAATGTGATCTGATGAAAAAAAAGTTCAATTCAGATGGATCTGATGTTTTCCAATAACATTGGAATGATTTAAAAAAAAAAAAAAAAAACAGGAAAATTTATTCCAAAGGACAAATGGGTGGGGCTTCCGTGATCGGTTGCGCTGCGATGGAAAATGAATATTGCTGTTTTCGAATTAAGGCAGAATACTACAGGATATATCCAGCAGCTAGAAATGAATCTAAATCCTCTGGAGAAAAACTGAGTGGATTTTTAAAACTCTTTTCGTCCTGTGGACACTAAGAGGGACTCTTTTAGAAATTCCATTATGAGTCCGGCCAGGCCCACAACGAGGTAGTCGGGGGGTGAGGGATGGGGTCCGAAATATCTGGTTGAGTCATCACCGATGCAAACCGGAAATCATGTTATTTTAATTCAAAAATTTCTCCCCGAAAAATGTTAGATAGATGACTGACACGGCTCTATTGTTAAAGGAATGGTATGATGTACAGGAGCAAGCCACAACTAATTTGAGGTGGAAAGCATATATTTTAGGTCAAATAAGTTAAAACTTTCTATTGAGATGCCCTCTTTTTATGTACAAAATTCTTTTTTAATTTAATTTGTTTCTTTATATCTTAAAGTGTTATTCTTGTAATATCTTTAACATTTTAAAAACCTTACCATTGGTGTATAGCAAGGCTATTAAATTCTTATTTAAGTAAGAAGGGGACCTCAAGAACTACAAAATTTCCTTATTGACTTAACATGGGGATGACATTTGAATCCCCATATCTTCATTTTTAGGTCGAATTTAAGAATTTGGTCTTTGTCACGACACGTTATTTTATTATTTCTATTAATGTGCAAAATTTCGTTGAAATCGGTCAAGTCGTTACTTTGCAAAACGTGTTTCAGTGATATGTGAATTCGAGTCTGCTTCTGCTCCCTTAAGAAATAAAGTTCTAGTGGTGATAAACAATGTTAAAAGATATAAATTCACAAAAGAATTATTCAGGGACATAACTAAAGAAGTGTCCTTTATCTGTTGTCCCTTTGTACTTTTTTAGGATTAGCATGGGACAACAGATGAAACACACGTCTATAATTATGTCCGTGAAAAATTTTTTTGTGAATATTTAAAGTTTACGTCCCGGCAAATATATATTTTTAATCTTAGAAGATAATTGCCATCACGGTCCTTCTCTAGATACTTTCTTTAATAGTTATGTATACAGATTTTATATCCATTATTCTTTGAATCATTATTTATCTATAGGCCTATATTTTTAAAACGATCGATATCAGACGCTGTACACCGCTTTTTATATTGAACGATTTTTGCATCCTCAAAAATAATTTTTAAAATACAACTTGAGAACAAATGCAAATTTGATGTTTGGTAGTATATTTTATATTCCGGATGTGACGATGACATTTATAATTTTAGTTTTATCATCGAATGAAATTTGAATATAATTTGAATATTTAACTAAAATCATTATATACCTACATTGGCTTTCGGAAGAACTATTAATTATATTAGGTAACAGGTTCATTTATTCGAATTTTTAATTATATTTTTAATTTATTTCAGTTTAACATACGTTATCTTTTACGATAAGAATAAGATTAATGACTTGATAATGATGTGTTATATAATATATGCTTATATTTTTATTGATAATTCTTGAATTTTATTGATATATATTTTAATGCTTTTTTACACGTGTCTAGTTCTGAGATTCGTACTTCTATATATATATATATATATATATATTGTGTATATCATATAGAATGGTTAAATAAATAATATAAAACCGTTTATATTGTTATAAATGAATTAAATCTAAACTTATCGTACAGCATATTTTAAATGCATACTGTATAGTAATTAATTCCAAAAATATTGAATTCTTATTGAGTAATGGAAAATAATTTAAACGAAATTATTTCTATTAATACAGTTAATGTATTTGACTTCTTCACTTTAATCGCTTTTTAAAATCTGCAACTAAATGTTGAGAAGAGAAAGATTTCCACTTTACGTGCTTTTGATTATTTGCTATTGTTCTTATACAGAACAACATGTAAGTTTCAGAAAGTATTTAATAACATTTAAAAGGTATTTAAAAGTGTAATTTTATTTTTAAAAATGATAAAATAATTTGAATTTTTTCAGCCCGAACACTACCTAAATGATAAAAGTAAGTATTTTTCTTAGTGCTAACATTTCGATATTTTTAATTAATTTTGAGTTGAAGGAATAAATATAATGTCAAATTGCCGAAGCTTTATAAATATTGTTTTCTAGCGCAACTGAAAGATCATTAATGCGACTTCATCAATATTTAACAATAAAATTATACGCATAAACTACTGTTATAATCACATCAAAGGGTTGTTTGCACGAAGCTTGTTTAAGAAATAAAAGAAAAGAGATGAAAAGTTATAATGTATTAAAGTATTTTTTGAAATTTTCAGGGCCGGTGTGTTTAACAGGAATGGAAGAAACTGTGAATCAGAGGAAAACTAGAATGATTGGAGGTTTTCCCGCGGCCGACAGATTTGACCAAATGCGATTCGTGGTAAATAATATAAATATCTGGTCTGAATGAAGATATCTGCAGACAAATATTAATAAATGAACTATTTTTTAAGGCCGAGATTCATATTCGTGGAAAGCAAAGCTGTCTTGCATCTGTGATTACCGATAGACATTTATTAACAGCCGCTCATTGTCTTTACGAGTATGTAATTATAACTGTTTTGCATAAATATATTTTTTAAAAACTGATAACAATTGAATAAATTTGTTAGCGAATAGAGTTTAGTACAAGTGCTAGCAACGAAACTAGTTTTGGTAAACTGGTTGGCAATGATGTCGGTATCGTTGTAATTACTTGCTCTTCTTTGATTTTTGTTTAGTATTAAAATATGACTGGATTTAAGATGTAATACTGGAAAATTTCATTGTCACATAAAGCTTAACTAACTGACCCTATCTAATAACCATTTTAAAAAGTAAAACATTTGAAATTATATTTTAGTGAACCAGATTTGTGCGATATCATATTAATAATTGGGGATTTTGACATTTCAACAACTGATGAACTCACCCACGAAGTTCGATTCATAGAATATCTCAAACTTCATCCGAAGTTTGATGAGAAAAGAGCAAATAATGACATCGCAGTTATTGGGATAGATCCACCTGTTCATTTAGGAAAAGATATAAAAGCCGCAGTTTTACCTCCTCTTGATGCAAAGCTTCCTATCGGAACAATGTGCACCATCTGGGGGTGGCAAGACTATCCTTGGACTGGATACAGTAAGTATATTAGGAAATTCTTATAGTAAGTACGAAATGTATTGTATTTTATATTTGAGACTTCTGTTCTAACGTGTTATACGATACGATAGGAAACGACGCTAAGTATATTTTGCATCGGGTTGACATTCCACTTCTTCCCAAAAAGAGATGTAGAAAAAATTATTCTTTCGTTAATAAGACGAAACTTTGTGCCGGAGGATTAAAAGGAAAGGACGTTTGTAAGGTTAGTCGTATTTATATTTCAATCTTATTTTTAATCGTATTCAGTTGCGTTTATTTAATCTATAATATTAATTATTATTCTAATATTTTAACAAAATAAGATTTAGAAATACAATAATAGAATTATATCGAATAAAACTATTTTTATATAAATATTACGTTTTCGAATTTTTAATTAAAAATTAGATACCTGATATATATATAAACATATGTATACACTAGCATAANGTGAATGTTGAATAAAAATATTTTTTTACGTTAAGACAAAAATGCAACTTTTTAATACAGTAGAGCGTCGTTTATCCGAAAGAATTCCAGTCGACAAATTTAAATTTTCGCCAGTGCTGTGGCGCTGCAGTCTTTGGCTATGTCTTGGGCTACTCAAATATTTTATTGTAATTTTTTATTGTTTTTATATTTTTAAATATATTTATTTTGTTTGTACAAAATAAAAAAATTATTTTTAACGATACAATAGTCTTCGTCAGACTTAACATCGACGAAAATTCAATGCGAAGCGACACGCAACGAAGAAAAATTTCAATATGGGATAGGTTAGTATATTTTTTCGTACATAATCGGTTATCCGAACAACTCCAGTCCCCAATTGATTCGGATAAACTACGCTCTACTGTATGTCAAAATAGGAGAAAGCTTAAGTAACAGCGTATGTAAATAAACTGTTGAACCTAAAACGAACAGTACATTCTTAATCATTCAAGATAATAATACAATAATAAAATTACACATGAATTATGTGATTAAAGTTATACAATCTTATTTATTGCAACAACTTAAACTGTTACGGCACTTTGAATTGCGCAAGAGTCCCTTGCTTTTACTACTGCATTTATTCGTGGAAAACTTCGTTTTGCAATGACAGCGTGTATAGCCTTGCCCTCCACTTTTCGAATTAGCTGCAGCTGCTTCTCTCAGCAATATTTCTTAAGAAAAAATCTCATCTATAGAAAGTAATTTTTCTTTACAAATTACGAACTGATTGCGGATATAAAGCTGCTTGAGGGTACCATGTTTGTTTGCTAATTTATAAAAAGTCGAAGTCTTCTATTCCAACAACAACCGCCATACATTTCGGGCATGTGTACGGCCACGGTCAACATCGGGAACTTCTATTCGTACGGTATAACCAATTTGAGCAGAAGGAAACAGTGAAGAATTCGGCGACAGAATGTCGCCCCTCTGTCGACATCGGCTTCTCAAATGTTTTTTCGACCCTTACCAAAGCTTATCTGTGCTTGTCGACATACACCGGCGATCGTTCGAATGTATAATAATACTAGCAGACCCCGCCACGCCTTGTTGTGGCTCAAAATGTATCTATTATAAATGTGATATAACACTTCCCTCGTGGGGGGAATTTTTCGAAAAATTTCTTCTTAGTGTACATTCTGTTGACGTACCCTATTAAAACGCAATCCAAAACGCAAAAACCCGCATCTAAAATAGTATAATAGAAGCCAAGTTCTTCACAGTAAGCTTTAATCCTGTCCCTCTCCCCCGCGGGGGGAATATCGAAAAATTTCTTCTTAGTGTACATTCTGTTGACGTACCCTATTAAAACGCAATCATAAACGCAAAAACCCGCATCTAAAATAGTATAATAGAAGCCAAGTTCTTCACAGTAAGCCTTAATCCTGTCCCTCTCCCCCGCGGGGAGAATATCGAAAAATCCCTTCTTAGTGTACATTCTGTTGACGTACCCTATTAAAACGCNTTCGCTAATATTATTATTATTATGTTGTTAGGTGAAAATAATTTATTTTAATTTATTTTTATACAAAAGGGTGAATCTGGAGGTAGTCTTCTTGTTTGGATTAATGACTATTATGTCATTTGCGGAATCGTTTCGGCTGGAATTGGATGTGGATGGGAAGACGTACCTGGAATTTATGCTGATGTGTCTAGATACACTGAATGGATATATGAAAATACCAAGGATGCAGCCTGTAAACCAAGCATACATCCAAATGAGACTTATCCGCGGAAATCTATGAAAAAAAAAGTTTCGATTACACAACAATTTATAAATGAAAATAAAAATAATTAATTATCAAGATTAAATATATCGTGTAGAATTTATAGGCCAACACGATTTATTGTTTCTGAATTTACGCAAAATATTCGATCAATGTTATTTTTTTACACCATTGAATACTGCATAAATTAAGTCTGTCGGTGTAAAAACAACATTAATTTTGTATATAAACGTTTATTCTAAATTACCTTTTAATAGAATGTAGCGAATTAAGAGTATTATTGAGTAAATTTGCACCTTAGAAAATTAAAGAAACAATATTTTTTATATTCGACTCATGCAAAACAAAAGGTTGGAATCCCTCCTGTTTATAATAGATATTCGTTGTTCTGTACGAACAGCAGAAGTGAAGTTGTAGTCGAAAATTGTAAAAATAGCGTTACGTACTTTTTATACGATTCTTTCTTAATAATTTTATGCAATTCGCAAAATGTATTAAAAAAAACAATTTAGTAAATCTAGTGTAACCTAATTAATCCAAACAGAAATACTCGAGATGTATAATAATTTCGGCAAATAAACGTGACAATTTAAACAACATTGTAAATTTTTCTTAGCAGTTTTTCTTCGGTAAAGATAATCCCGGTGATGAAAGGCGAAATGTAAGGTAAATACAGATAAAAATCTAGTTGGTATCTCTTGTGAGTAAACAGAGAATTTTCAAATTGAATATTAAAAAAAAAAGTAAAAGTAAAAGAGGCTCTGTTTTTAGAAAGATTACTTTGTGTATTACAGTATTAATAAAACATGCCAAAATAATTTTTACTTTTTATATTTAAAATTTCATCTTAAAAATATCCGACTTGTGAAATAAGGGAAAAACTCGTAAACTTTGCGTAAGGCGCAACATAACCGGGCACCGGAACTATTAATTATCAAAAGTTTGAGCTTTTGTAATTCTTAGTAAAATTTTGAATAAAATTAGTTTCTTTTCATGTAATTTTATCTTTATAAGGAGCCGTTCATAATTTACGTGAAAACGATTTTAGCCATTCTAGACGCAACCCACCCCTGTGTAAGAAACCATAATATTTTTTTTTAGTCCTCTCCCCTTCCCTATCTTACGTAATATTTAGGAATGATTTTATACATGGATATTAAGAAAAACAAATTTTTTATGAAACCCTAAAAACCTTAGGTCCAAAATATATAATTATTAATTAGTTAATTAATATGTACTATTATTTATAAAAGACTTTATGTAAACAAATTTAAAAATATAAAAATTTAATGAATTCGAATGAACAATTTATTTTAAGAACTTTATTTTTTAATTAACAATATTATTATTATCATCATTAATCAACGTCATAACATCCATTTTTATATTAATTTTAATTTTCACAAAAGAACGGAAAAATACTTTGACAGGTCGACTAGCTAGTGCAGGTGTAAACAGAAACGTCATACAAAATTAAACAACAGAGAATAGAAACTACATTCCGTTGCCATATTAATTACATCTTGAATAAGGCTACCATGCAGACATTAACAAAGACTACTTAAAACACATGGAATGTGTCTGCTGACCACTGTTGCATGAAATCGTATACAATAGTTTTTAAAAGCTTCGCTACTTAAAATTACAAACGAAATGTTATGATGTACAGTATATCATGTTTCTAGATATATAATATTTTGAATCTACATTACACATTACTTTTTAAAATAAATTAACAACATAGATATTCCTTTCTGTGCTAATCGGCAACGTTTTTAAGTTATTTTTCTACTTTTAAATCAATTAACGAGATAGCTTAATTGAAAGAATATCTGTTTTTATGATGTATAAAAAGTCAATTATATATTTATTTGTAAAGTAGACTATTCTGTAAATTAGGCAGTCATTCAAAACACGTGTACAATTATTTATTATTAATCGAAATGTTCTGCGTTTTTATATATTAAACACTACAGGATTTCTTCACGCTGTTACCCAAACTTCAGATCTGTAAGAAACATACAACAAAAAGATCTAGGCCTATATGATTATAATTTACACATATATTATATCGATAAATACGTTATCCACTTTTATATATTTCTAGCAAATTAATTGAGGTAATAATTTCATATATGTACAAAAATCTACCTTATTTTTAGGAGCAATCAAATAGTATATTTCCGGTTATTTTATACACAATCCTTCTCCTTTTTCATATTCTTAATCTGTGATAATTATTGTATTTCCTAATGAATTTCCGTATAATTGAAAAAGTGTAATAAACTTTTAATATTTAAATTACTTTAGCTTTTCGTATTTATAATTAAATGTATTTAGAATGTGTTGCATATCGATAACATTATAAGTAAATAAATCACTCATAAAACTGAATTAACTAGAAATATGTTTGGTCTAATTACATGTACGAAAATGTTCACGAATATTTTCTTATATCTTCGTAATTTAAATTTTAACAACGTTGTGATAAATTGTAATTTAACTATTTCAAGACAACATATTCTTATTAAATCCGCGCTTTAATTCCCGTAATTAATTAACTTTTTTATTACAAAAGTTATTTTTAAAAATGAAACAAAAATATGAGAGATAAAACTAATCTAAAAAATCTTTTATTTGATAGAATAACACTCCCTACAGCTATATTTATCATTTAACAAAGAATGAAATTTCACACGTCCATTGTTTATAAGCCCGTTGGCCTCGAGATATGCCAGAGTTAACTTTTTAGGTGGTTTACATGTATGCCTGTGTAAAAGATCGATTCGTAAACTAAACGCCCGTGCCCGAGTTTTTTCGAAATCGATACTGAAGGGCAGAATGATGTGTAAAAATATAAAAATTATTGATTATTTTACATAAAATTTTGAAATAAATTTAAAATAGACACTCTTTTATACTTGTTTTATTATTGACCATTACAAAATCAAAAATTACTTTGTATTAAAAAATAACGAAATTGTGAATTATTTAAAAATCTACGAGTAATTACTAGATTTTTTAAATGCATCCTTTTATCTATTAATACTATTGATTTTAAAAACTCATTTAATGTTTAAAACTTAATAGAATGCTAATTTTGAAGGGAGTGAACGATGTTAATAGAATAGCTCAGTGATGGGCAAACTTTTTAAAGAGCGGGCCAAAGGAAAAGAAGAAAACTTTAGGCGGGCCAATATAATTGTAACCCAGCGCTGCATATGAAAATCCAGGTGGCGCTATAAAAACATGTGCAGGCCGTCCGCCATATTTCTTTTTCTCTCTTTCGGCTACGCTACGCACGACGAGTGGATGTTCTGTACCGAAGCATGCTTGTAACCGATCGAGCTTTTACCCAATAAGTGTAAAACAAAATTTTGTACATGATTGTAAATAAACTTTCATGGTGAGATATAAAGCTTCGGTTATTTTATATAATCAACGAACACTCAAGTTAAGTGGTGCATCAACCACCACAGCCTGTATTCTTTTTTACTCGTCAGATTAGGAATAA